CTTTTCATGAGGACAGAGAACGGGGCAAAAGTGCGGGTTTTTCACAGCAATTGCTAGAAAACAGACATAGAATCTTCACTAAAATACATATTATTCATCTAAGATTTCCACAGTTTGTAGATCTTCAATTAGTGATTTGAATCTATACTTGATAGTTGAAAATCCACAGTAACAACTTCCCGGACTGGTTTGCCCTTATAAAGGTCACTTGAAAAGCTTATTAAAACCCAGTTCAGGAAACCTTGTAATACACGATTCGATGCGTCTTCATCTCCTCTTTCCAACAGTGTAGATCGCAGTTCTCTACCTTGTTTCTATCAAAAATTATTCAAACAATACTCATCTGCCCTTTTTTAAAAATGAGCGTTATGTAACCGTGACACATGGGAACAAAACAGATTTTATCGAAATTTTATTATTATGATATTAGTAGAAGTATGATCAAATAGCATAGAAAAATAGAGCATTCTTTTCTCTATCATTCTATGTAAAAAGAAACGTTTGTCAAGCTTATTAAGTGGTCCTAAAATGTCGTTGCCACTACTTTTGGATACCCCTTTGTATTTGTCACCGGTCACCCAGTATGGTCACGGGCGGCCCAGTAGAGTTTCGAGATCAATAGACTTTAGATTCTAATATCCCTCCTCCAATGATCCGGTCGGATTCGCTTACCCAAAAACGCAATTTCTATTGATTCGAGCTCAGAAAGCTCGATTCCTATCGGTTTCCGGTCAACCAATAGGATTTCGATTCAAATGCATTCAGAACGAACAAACTTTTTTCTTTATATATGAGATTTGATTGACCAGCAAATCGACCCGTCAAATTTGAGCATACTTTTATATCCCTAAATCTCTTGTGTCGAATGGTGAAAATCTCAGGTCTATATCTCCTTTCGTTCTCGAGTTATTGAGAAAGCGGAATTTTGTAGAGTTCGATGAGTTATACTTGGGTCTAGGGAGAGTTGGGTTGGGTGCAGGGTCAGGGCGAATCGGAACGGAAAACGGGAAAAGGTCATGTAAAAAAATGGTTTTTCAGGTTAGGATTGGGAATCTTTTTAATTTTTGAGGGCTTTGTGCCGGTGAATTGTGGAACCCATTATATGGGATTTGTAGAAATCGACGAGTTCTACTTGGGTTTCAGGGAGGGGGGTGTTGGATCCAGTTGTGGGCGAATCCATTCCGAAAATACTCGAATCTTGACCTAACATATTCTACGTCATTTTTAGGTGGATAACATCACTGATTCATAAGTCAAAGCTACAAGACTTTCGTATTGAATTTGAACTTATGAAAAGTACGAAATTTTGCCAGGCTCAGAGATAAAAAAACTTATTTATTTATCAAAAATCTTAAAATTCTGTACTTGACTTAGCATAAAATTGGGAAAAGGGAAATTCAGAAAAAAGATACTTTTATTTGTGCTTTTAAGCGCCATTATTGTGGCTCCACGTTGCACGTGTTTCGCGCTCGGAAATTAACATCACTTTTCTTATATATTTTTATCCAAAGGACGGCGGACGATAAAAGCCAAATCAGCCCACGCCCAAATCAGTCTTACGTTAACTCATCTAATACAATTTTCGATTAACGCTGACATATTTTTAAATCTTAAAAATCCTTCTCAGCGCCCCCGGAAACCTATCAGCAAAAAAAACTCTTTTCGCGTTAAACGAGGTTTACTCAAAGTACTTACATTATTCAAACTGTTTCACCCAGAGCAAATATCAACTGTTATACATCATTCGATAGAGAATTTCATGAGCTACAAAATAATATATGAGCTATCCGAAATACTCGGCAGCATCTCAGCAAACCGTAGGTCGACGTCGTTCATGTTTATAATATCCATTAATTTTCTCGTGAATTACTCCATTTATGTATCATTCGATAGAGAATTTCACGAGCTTCAAAATGAGCTGTAAATAGGCCTTTCAAAAATATGTCCACATTGCTCAATAGTTGAAATACTTGACCGATATAATGATTTTCACCTATCTTAGTGCTTTGAACACTCCGTTAGTCGTTTTTCTGCTATAATGAAAAATTATGTATTGTTCTAAAAATTACCATTGAATAGCCCTTGAAATTCTCTACAAAGTGAGCCAGTCACAATATCGAAACAGGTGGGACCAGTCGTTAAAGATATGGAAAAGAAGCTTTTGGGTGTAATCTAATCAGTACAGTGTGTCATAATTACAAGAACTCCCTTGTTTTTGACGTTTTAGTAAAAGCTGGAACCAATCTGAATAATGTTTTGAATAGCCCGAAGATTTTTCTATCAGATGAGGTACATATCGCCTGTTCATGAGAAAAGTTGCTAATAGAGCTTCTGGAAAAGGCTGAGCGCTGGAAAACCAAGTCGTTAGTTTATGGTCAGAAAATTTTGCAAACGATATAGCCTGACAGAGCGCAGAATTCCGACCAAAATAAGACATCTCCCGGCATTCTATAGTGCTTTTTCACCGGAATATTTTGGTAACTTTCACGGCCTTTGTAGCTAGTAGTAAATCGACTGCAGTTACGTGAAAAAACACTGTAGAATGCCGGGAGATGTCGAAAACTGTATCAGGTGAGTTAACGTAAGACTGATTCAGTGACTGAGCATGGACCAATTTTGCATATTATCGTCTCCCGTCCTTTCTGCTTTATTCAAATTTTTCTCAATATGATATGTAAATTAGCTAAGCTGTAAAGCTCTTTCTCTAACGAAGGGTGAAGTGAATGATTCGCCTTGATTGCTCCATATTTTCGAAGAGGAAACCGGATAAAACATAGCGCAAATAGTCTTCTAGCTGGTACAGTGTCTACATCGAGGAAAGTTTCTTGGTCATGAAACTTGTTCTTCTTGGTGTTATTTGACTAAAGAAGTTGATTTCTTAAACAAGAACTGGATTTATTGAGGAAGAAAGAAATCTTCTTCGTTAATAATTCTTTTCTACCACAGGGACAAATTTGGAGCATAACTGGGAGTTTTCGGTGCATTTCACTGTCTGACGGATTATACTACAAAATCGTACTTTGGAAAAAATATTTAATCAGGATATTACACTAAAAATAATATAAATTCCTTAAGCAATCAAACTTGATATATATCCCTTCTTATTCAATTCAAAAACAATAAGTAAAAAAAATAAACAAAACTTATTTTAAATTAAATCTATGTAATATTCTAAATAGATATTGAATTTTCTTTTCGTTTTGTGTTGCCTGTTCATTTTCATAGCAAAATTCTTTCCAGGTCTATCTAAGTTCACTAATCTTTTACTTCTACTTTAACAAAAAAATAACCACTAGAAACATTTAAATCAATGTATAATCAATAATCGATGCCTACAGTGGAATATACATATCGATAATATATGTTAGAAATATTCTATTTTCCATAAAGCAGTCATTAAATTTATTAGAAATAAAATAAAATTATTCATAAATATTAATTTGGTCAAATTTCGATTGTTATTATATTATGTGACTACTTTTCTATGAAATCAAAATTTAAGGATAAATATTAAATTAACAGTCAACAATACACTGTACTATGATAAAATGAAATTAATCAATTACAAAAAGCAAAGAGCTAATCAAAAAAGAGCAAAAAAATAGGTATTATTTGATAAATAAAGATTTACATAGAAGAAAACACAAGGTAAAAATTCCAAATCAAAATAATAAAAACAAAATTAATTCTTTTGTTTTTATTCCCGTTCCAAAGGCAGTTAGCTTCTGAATTCTTAATTATTCTTGGTTGTGTAATTCTTTTTTGTGGACGTTATAGCTAACATTGACTTTTTCCTCAAAAAGCATAAGTCAGTTTTAAAAGCTTTTAGTCTATTTTTATCTCTGGTGTAGAAACATCGACCTCGGGATGACGTATGGAGTTCTTGTGAAAAAATGTTTACCAAACCCATCGAATTTTAAAACAAAACCTTTCCCTATATGTACTGCTGTGTTTTTTTTGTTCGTAACTTTCTGTGTTTTTCTAGTTTTTTCTCAACCAGTCGAAAAAAGTCTCGACCGGGTAGGGTGTTGTGTCTAGACTCTTTCTCTCTTTGTTTCCTCTCCTAGCACAAGGCCATATTCTCCTTTTCTCTTTTTCTGTAAGTTGACTTAAGACCTTTAGCTATGTATATATTTGTATTTTCCTTTTCTGGTATGTTCGTGTAAAGTAAGGTAAAAGGTGTAGATAGTGAAGTGGTGTGTGATCCTTTGTTTATTATCATTATTCTTTTCTTAATAAAATTACACCAAAATTCAATATCTGTTCACTAAAGGCTAGAACACGCTAGAAGTAAAAGGATTAGTTAACAGTATGCATTCTCAGTTTTTTTTGTGCTTTATAATGACCAAGCAGAAATTTATATGAAGAGAAAAGCAAAAATCAATAAACGGTTCATCTTGTCCTTTTTTCTTTTCTCGGCATTCTAAATTTCTGCTACGTCATTATTACACAACACAGAAAAACTGAGTACGAATGCAAAAAAGGAACAGAATTATTAGAAGTGGCGCCTCCGAAAAATAAGTATCGAAAAGAGGTCGAACAGTTTATTAATGAACACTTTTCTTTGTGGCGCCAACTGTGATGGTTCTGTTCCTTACCTGCATACTGACGCAGTTTTTTTGTGCTATGTAATAATGACTAAGCAGAAGTAAATATGAGAGAAAAGAAAAATGAAAATATGAACCGTTTAATAATTTTTGCTTTTCTCTTCATATAGGTTTCTGCTTGGTCATTATAAAGCGCAAAAAAACTGTTTATGTAAGTTATGCAGAAAAGAAACAATACACGTTGCAGATAGGAAGAACATGTACGGAGTAACACCGAAAAATAAGTAAGTATACGTAACTCTTTCTTTCATTCTCTTGCTCAACCCGTAATATAATTATCGTGTATTTCTATAGAAAGAAAAACATATACCTCTATACCTCCTGCTGAACGACTCATTTATATTTTTGTTGGATTTCTTTCTAATTTCGTGGCGTTATACATACAAACAGGAAATGAAAATATCAATATTTGGATCAACTGGGCCAACAGGACGGGAATTAGTAAATCAAGCACTGGAAAAGGGTTATAAAGTAAGCACTTTGGTCAGAAATCCACTTGATATAGTTCATGCCAATTTAACTGTCATAAAAGGAAACATTTTTGATATAGAAGCAGTTAAAAATGTTATTGAAAACAGTGATGCTGTAATTTCTGTATTAGGTTTTACACCACAATTATTTGGAGAAAAATCTACCGACATCTATTCTAAAATTGCTTCACTCTTGGTTAAAGCAATGACAGAATTAAATTTAAAAAAATTGATGTTTTGTACATCAGCAGGTGTAGAAAATGATCCAAATGAAATATGGTTTTACAAACATATTTTGAAACCTTTGCTATTACAAAAGGTTTATGATGATATGCAATTAGCGGAGAAAATAATTACTGAATCCAGTTTAGATTGGATCCTGGTAAGACCCGCACGTATGACAAACGGATCATTAACAACTCAATTCCGTGTTTCAGAAAGATTTAGATCATCAGGAGGCACCGCTATTTCACGAGCTGATACAGCATTTTTTATGTTAAACCAGGTAACTGGTAATCAATGGGTACACCGAACCCCAACACTAACTTATTAGTTTTCTGTAGTAGTTTGGCTTATAATACATTTCTTTCTAAACGCTGTATGTCCAAGTTTTGCACTAATTTTGATTTACTTTTTTAATAATTCCCAAATCTAATCCAACTTCGCCTGTACTGACAAGGGGGTCCTTTTGAACCGAGAGAAGGAGTGAATCGTACTTCAGTTGTACAATTGTGTTTTTGGGGTATTTTGACTACGGAACTTTTTCCTCGCGTCCGATTTTGCACCAAAATCTACAGGATGCATGATAAAAATTTCAGCCATATCTGACGAAGTTTTATTGAACACCATGCATATTTCGTATCATCCACCATCTTCACTTTCGTCACCAATAACTTCGGAAGGAGGCATTTTCAAAGTCTAAAAAGGTTTCACCCATCCGCGTTTTAGAGTTAGTATCTGTGATAAAAATTTTAGAGGAGTCTGCGGTGATCAGTATGCAGGTTTGCTTAAAGCTGTCTCACTTTCTCAGATAATGGCCCCTAAAAAGAGATCCAGGATATTCTATCTTAAAACTTAGAACATATCTACACAGGCAAAGCTTCACGACACGTAAACTGCAATTTACGGCAAAAGACGATGAAATACGACGGTCGTAAACGATGGTCGTAATACTTCTTCCGGGATTACGATAAAATACGACGAAACACGATCGTTGTTTACATGTTGTCGTAATGCTTCTCCCCGGAACACGACAAAATACGACGAAATAGTACAGTATACGTCAATTTATGAAGTCGTAATTTAACGTATACAGTCGTTTACGATCGTCGTAATCATCAACCAGGGTAACTTTCAGTTCGAACGCTTACGTCTGAAATTCAGATAATTGGTATAGAGTGAATGAGTAAAAAGTAAAAATCTCCCTAGCGGATTTGAAGTTGATATGCAGTATGTGACAAACTTTCTTTAGCTAGCAAATAAGGGGTTTAGATAAATAAGGACTGAAATCTGGCCATTGGTTTTTACGCACCTTTTGAAGGCAAAGATTATCAGACAATGTAATCTCCGATGCGCTGAGCCTTTTGCACACTTTAGAATCCTCAAAATATCTTTCCTTCCCTTCATACTTTACTCTAACATTTGACTGTGTGCACTTTGAAAGAGTTAAGTTGTGTGTGTGGAAATAGAAACGATTAGACTCTTGTTTCATATATATTATGAAGTCAGGCATGCTCCACTTAGTAAATACCAGTAACAGACAAGTTGTTCATCAAAAGGAACTTATGGTAGGCAAAGTAGTTGATCCAAAGACTTATGCACATCTTCCGATCTTCTGAAAAGATAACCGTCAGATAAAACAACAGAATGTCACGACATTTCACATATAATTTTTCGTCGGTTATAAACGGTCTTCACAGAGAAAGTGTAAAAATGTACCCTTAGATTAGTCCCATCTGTTTATTACTGTTACTTGTGGTTTTAGATACAATCCAACTTATGTGTTGTTTGATTTCTTCATGTTTCATCATAGCTGCCTTAGCAGCACTACTCATCGTAATACTTTGCAGATATGCAAATGCATGTGTAGTACCGAATGCCGATTGATACAATGCAACCAGGGAACCTCAGACAATACCGATTTCAGCAAAACTTAAGGAGGGGTTCCTTCATCCAATTTTTTACCAGTTTGTAGGGGACACTTCGGAGTATATGTCTCAACAAAGCTTTCAGTTCCCGGATTTATAGTTTTTGATAAAAAAATTTTGAAGTTTTTTTCGGGTTTACTGCCCTATTTTTAAAATTTCAGTAAAAACTTCAGCTTTTGATATGAGGAGTTGATTCTAGCGTAGGTCGATAGAGAACATTGACTTGTATAAGGAGAAAAACTTTACATCGTTCTCAAATGAAGTTTGACGGAGAAATTTAACTTTCACTTCCCGAGGAAATTTTAGAGCTAAAATTTTGAAAAAAGCCTTATGGCTAGTTTCGCTCGAAGCAAGCATTTTGAAACAAAACTCTGGATTCAAAAGTTGTTCAGAATCGCATTCCGGAGTCCCTTACAAGAGCTTTTTTTGCTTTTTAAATTGAAAAATATGAAATTTTAAAATTTTAAAAACTGTAAAATTTAATTTAAAAACCAAAAACAGAAAATTTTAAAAAAAGCTCTCGTGCGGACTGCTGAATTCGATTCTGAACAACTTTTGTACCCAAAGTTTTGCGTCAAAATGCTTGCTTCGAGCGAAACTAGCCATAAGGTGGGGTGAAAAAAGCTTCGCTGAGCCAGAAACCAGTGATATTTTCGAAGTTCTGAATTTTTTCGTCAAGCCTTCCCAGTTTGTAGAGGACACTTCGAAGTGTATGTTCGGAAATTTTTTCGGGTTACTGAAATTATTTGGCTGAGAAAAAAATTAATTACTTAAAACAATATTGTTAAATTCTCGACTTACCAGACTTACCGAGCGACCAAAACCGAATTCTAAAATTCTTAAGGTAGTCCATATTGTAGTCCGTGAAATTCTCAGTCAGATGAGGTATTGCTTGAATCTTTTTGTTGCGTTGCTATTTTACAAATAAGACTTTATGCTAGTAAAGTCGGCTAAATTAACGCTAATTAGTACTAATTAGCCAATATCAAGAAGGAAAGAACAAAAATTCTTGCATATTTTTTCGTAACAAATATTCTCCACATATTTCTCTATCGATTTAGGCAAGAACCAAGCTTTTATGATAAATGGAGAATGGACAGGAATTCTTTTAATAAGAATCCCTTGTTCAAAAATTTAACAATACTTTTTTAAGTAATTAATTATTTTTCTCAGCCAAATAATGTCAGTAAACCGAAGAAACTTCAGGACATATACTTCGAAGTGTCCTCTACAAACTGGGAACGTTAGAGAAAAGTTTAAATGGGGGACGCCCCCTTAACCATCCGAATATGCATATGGGAAAAAACTACTTTTGATCCCGGAAGTTTTAAACGAAACGGAATGTGGCAAATACTTCTCTGTTATAACAGAAGCTTATCGCGAAATTCTCTTAGATACCTTTTTTAGAAAGGATTTTAAGAAAACTTCAACTCAAAAGGCCATCAATTTGAACTGAGAATAGATATATTTGGGCAGGATGATTCATCATTGTCTAATTCTTTAGTTTTTATTCTTGAGATAAAAATGATCAGTTGCTCATACTGATTTTAAATTTGTACATTATTTTTTCTCTGTCAAAAACGTTTTTTCAGCAGGCTTGCCCACAACAGAATTCACCGTGCTAAATCCAGTAGTGTTGATTAGTTTTCCAAAATGGCTCGCAGACAGAGCAAGCGTTTCAATGTGCAACTACTCTGAAACCAAATGAATTCGGAAAATGATTTAGAAATTTTGTCTTCAACCGCTTTCCGAAAGTAAAGTTACAGATACCCAACCGGCTTTCTTTGTGTGCACAGTTACACACATCACATTCGGCTTTGTAATCTGCGATCCAGCTTTTTCTGACCGAAAGTTTTATGCTTGTTTTTGTTCCACTGAAGCGTAACTGCTGTTTTGTCATCCGCCTTTATGTACGACGCTAATCAGAAGGCTAAAAAATATAGTTAAGGTAATTCCAGCTACATCAGATCTCACCATACAGACTAACGGACAAGTTCTGTCAATGTTATCAATGTATATCATGACCTTTGGGCAACACTGACGTAAGAGCAGAAACACAAGGCTTTTCCAAAAGTTGGATGACGCTAAGCGTTTAGAAAAGCTTGTGGTTGATGCCCGATAACTTGTTGTCATGTGTTCGTCATGGAAGAGGAATTTACTAAATATTCATACAGCATGGTGGATTGTAAAATACTCATAGCTTCAATACATAACCAGAGGTTACATAAAAAGTAAAGGTATACTAAAACGGTATTACCATCAGAAATTGTTGTCTGTTGCAGTGCTAATGCTGCATTCTCATTACGATGTTGAAAATAATTACTGTTCTTTCGTTTTGATTTCTTTTTTAGACTGGTAAACGTATAGGTTGTTGACTCAGTAAAATGATCATTATTAAATTTTATCTGATTATTGAAATCATCGTCATCTAATATTTCTTCATAAAGGATGTTTGAAACTGATCGAATTGGAAGCTGCAGTTGAATCTTTAGCAATACGATTTTCCATTTTCAAGAGTAAACACAGGAATAGAGAGTGTTATACTGTTCTTAAGATTTTATGATTGAGACGGCTATTATGTAGAAATTATCGTCAACTGGCTAACACGTGATATATCAATGTGTTTTCTCAAATCGAGAAAATTGTTATTTGTATTTTACTTTAGCTGGAGCAGAGCTGGGTAACTCAATTCATCAACAGATCGCAGAATTGTCAGGAATGTGAACAAAAGCAGTGTTCACCGATACTTGGGTATCTAGAGGAGTGGATGAATCTGTAATGCTATATGTGTCCAATTCAATTTAAGTCGACTCATAAAATTGAATATGATTTGAAATTCAGTTTCCGTTGATGATATTTGAAAGAATCCTCGGAGACAATTCCGATCCACCCTATTTTGCTTGATCCGATTTGATCTCTACTGTTAAAAGACCGTTCGTCTTGTGAAGAAAAGTCGGATCTTAAAAGACTCGATTAAAGACTTGAGATTAAAATGTCCAGAAAAAGACATTATAATATTTCATTCGCCAAAGACATTGAAAAGTATGCAAGATCTTTCAGAGAATTTATTTATCATTTTCACAGAACGGAAGTTTAAAACGAATCAATTAAAGACTTGAGAATTTAATGGTCAGAAAAAGAAAATAATTGTAAAAGATCCGAGCAGAAATGGTCTCTATGCTTTAAAATGAGAATAACAACCCACATTTTCAATCTTTTTTTCTGATTGTAAATAGAAAAAACGTATATTATAAAATGTAGGCGAAAACAATACTTACTCCGTAAATATGGCATAGCAAAGGGAGAACTACAGGGGTCTGAGTCACTCAATAGAATTTGTGAGCCCCTAATCCATAGTTTTTGAGTCCTTTTTAGGAAAGAAAAGGTCTAAGATCTCAAAAATTAGCTTGTGACCTTACTAGACTCTCTCTTCTAGACACAAACTTACACTAGCTCATCTAAGAAATTCAGGTGGCTGAGTCGTTCGCTCCTGTACTAGCATCTTAGTCCTAACTCTAGTTCGGTTTTACAAATCAACAACAAATTACTACCACGATAAAATATTTTACAGGAAAACAATAATGAAATATTAACGGTGAATAATAATATCAAATAGTTGTTCATGATCTGTTTTTCTTCAATTGATGACGCTTGATGAAGAGAAGACGAGCAGAACGAAATTATAGTAATGCAAATGAAAACACTAAATTATATTTCATAATTTTAAAAGAATATTAAATATAAGTTAAATGTAAGATTTAGTTTATATTAATTATAAAATTACACGTCTTTATTTAATGGCTTCCCAAACATAATTCTGTAGAAGTGATGAAAGTGACTTTAGTGTTTTTAATGGTTTCAATTACTGTAGTGAATTGAGCGTTTTCAGAGTTCTGTATGAATTTACAGTTGTCAACGATTGTGGTGTAGATTTCTGTAAAGTGTTCAATGAGTCAAGTGTATAGACTGAGTCAGTTAGTTAAAACAACTGAGCCAAACTAACTTACTTTGATTGTGGAGCAAATGTCATGAGACATTATAAAAACTTGATGGCATAACACTTCGCAAGTTCTGCGTCATGAAACATTATTTCTAGCTGAACTTGGAACTTTTACATCCTGCGTGGTACGTATACCATCCTCAATAAAGAAGGTGAGTAACAGAGAAACATGCAGTAGCTAAAGATGATGCACTCTTGGTGAATGTAAATGAAAACTGATAAGAAAGGTGAGCTATGTGTTATAGTTAAATAGGAGAAAATTCACAGAAGTGATGCTTCACAGTAGGAAAATTTTGAATTTTGTGCGGTTTTCAGCGACCCTTTAGAATGTCTGTCGCTTTACGAAAGCGTCGCCGAACCTAATAGAAACCTCAAAATACTAAATTTCATCTTTGGCACAGCCACTCGCTGGCGAAGTTTCTCAGAATAAAGCGTTTGTTTATTAAAGAGATTCTCTTTATCAAATGCCTTCAAAGAAAACGACCGTTGGCTTTCTCGCGCTCGCTCCTGCTTTCGCTGTAAAGACCCAGGGCAGCGGACGAACCATATTATTCTGCAAAACATTTCTTTGTTTTTATCTAAGTTGTATCTAGGAGAAAAAAATGGCGTAGCCAATTCCAGCAACAACAACAGTTTCATACAAAGTTGGAGATGAATCAACAGATGGCTGGCATGACATTCCTCCTGAAATACAAAAGACATTGATAGAAGCGGCCGAGAAAGAAAAAGAAAATGAAATAATACGACTCAGCATGGTTAATGATAAATATAGATTGTTAACTGGTCAAGGTTTTGATGCACAGTGGCAGAGCGCCGTCAATAATAATGATGATGTGTTTGTTATCAGTATGATAGGCAATAGCCGTGTTGGGAAAAGTTTAATCGTCAAAGCTTTCTCTTTGGAAAATGAGAACAGTCCAACAGCAGCTCCGCCCGAAGTAGACGATTTATTGGTTAGGACTACAGGGAATATTGGCTGTTATGAAAGTAGAAATATGTCAGAAGGTACGAGTAAGACACTGGTATTAGATTACGAAGGTGAAGACTCTGGTCTGCCATTGATGCTACGACTGAGACGACACATGCACGGGAGCTATAAAGAGAACGAGAGACGAAAGTTTGTGAAAGAATCTTTTCCGAAGCTGGCTTATATTCTTAGTAATATTGTAATTTTGGTTGGCAAGGACGAATAAACGGACGGTAAATTTGGCTCGCAAATATTTCAGGATAATATTGATCTATTAAAAACAAGAATCAACGAAATCTATCATCAACATGTACAACAGCAACGTTTAATTACACATATGCAATGGCTGTTTATGACGGACAGTGTTTTAGAAACCGTTTCGGATGGTGGAACAGTCTCTCTAGTAATACTATTAACACAGTTGACTGATACCGGTTATGATTACGAGTCGATTGCTAAAAAACTATTTATTCATCTGTATACACGAAACGACACTCCTTCACAAGTATGGTACGCACACTGTCGAACATTTACCATGAAACTATTAGCACGCAGTATTGCAATGAAAACACTTGAACAAAAAGAACGTCTGGAAATGTTATACGGATTAATTGTGAAGAAAAGCTGAAAAGACTATGGGATAGCCTAAATGAATTGAAACCGTGTCAAGCAAAACATAACAATCCTACGCTTGTTCGTTCCGACTGGGAAGCCGTTTGTTGTCAACTCAAACGTGCACACAAAACTCATCGTCTTTCGGGCACGGAAAGGAGTGCACTAAGTGGAATAGTGTCGCCTATGATAGGTCTTTTCTGGCCTATCTTGTGGGACGGCAATTTCGAAAATGTTGATGCAAATGAGCCAGAGAAACAGGATATTGATCGTTTCGTTGAGATGGTCATGGACTATAAGGAAAAGTTGGAGCCAGCATTGCCAAAAACAGAATACGAAACATTTAAAAATCTTCTTGATGAGTATAAGGTTGACAAGTCGATTAGAGTATTTTACTCTAAACTTTGTCCCTGCTGTTTAGCTGAACGAAAGCATTCAGAAATACAAGGTACACTCAGAATGGGACTTGGAATCAGCACGCCTGTATGTAAACAGTGTAATACTAAGCTTAACACAATGACACTAATGCCCTCCACCACAAAAGCAGCAAGTAATTAAAAAAACATTTAACTCAAGTTTTTTTTCCTCCTGTTAGTCACAGAAAATCTACCGATTAAAACAAACTATTAATAAATATTTTTAATAAAGTGCTATCATTATCAAAAACAATTATATATTGAATTAATTAATAACTTCTAATACAAAGCTTATTAATTAATTCAATATATAATTGTTGTAAATTTTTACATTAATTATTTTGAATAATGTATTCAATTTTAATTAAACATTGATTTATTCTCTGAATTAATTCATTTACATAAAACTGAATTAGTTGTTGTTTTATGAAATCAATTTGATTAAAACCAGTTTCTAAACAATAACGATTAATATTTTCAATATATTTTCAAGACATTATCCATTTACAAATTTTTTTTCTTCAAAATCTAAAAAAACTCAATTTTGTAGTTTCATAGACTTTTCTCTCCTGTTCTGTACATTTAAAATTTTTCTTATGCATAGTCTGATAGAAGAAAGTGTTTTCTTCACAAGATGTTTTCCAGAATTTCTCATGAGTTTTCGTGGAGATATATGCATCGCAGCAAATACCTTGAAAAGGTGGCCTATGTACAAAATGCGTTCAAAAACTATTTTGTTGCTACCGGGCTTCATTGTGCCACATCACGATCCCTCTTAAATTTCATCTGATAGAGTTAAAAATTCTACCATAGATATTCAAGACACTATTGCAGAGGTATCTTTCCGGAATTTTATTTTAGACTTTTCTTTACCGAGTTATAGGGCTGATTTTGCAGAGATGAGCGAGTCACGAATTTTTCGAGTCCGAGTCAGCAGCCTTCGAGTCAGTGTCCGAGGCACTTCCAGTCATTTTCTAGAGGAAAACTTCGTCCTGATTCATTTTTCCGACAACAGATCTTCAATCCTCTCATGTGACACAATATTCTACTTAGAATATTCTCAAATATCGGAGACGTCTCGTTTCATTCAGAATTGAACTATTTACTGTGGATAGAGCACACTTCGAGGAACATTTTTTCGAGGAAAAATGTTTTGTTTTGAGTTCCAATTTTTTGAATTTATAATAACATTTCAAACGTAATAAAGTACGATTGAGCAAAAATAATCTCTTTCTGAATCAAAAAAGCACATGCTCGTCTGGTCTATGGAAAGGTACCCACTGTGAAGTACTCACAAAAACTGCCACTTCCATTCACTTGATTCATCAAAGTATGTTTTGTGTTGGTAAATTTTATTTTAATTTATAAAATGCAAAAGATCTATACAATATATGAATATGCATTCTAAACAAATATCATCCATACATTCAATTCCTATTCGTTTCAAGCTTTTTTTACGAAATATATTAAATGAAATACCATAGAAACAGTTTCTTTGCCAGCTTTTGATGTGTAACTCATAAATTAGGTAATCATATATTTAGAGGAAAGACCCTGACATATGTTCTTTCTGTTTTTCTCCTTTTCTACGAGTTAAAATCAAAGTCATGAATATTCTGCACTTTCTGTTCTCATTACCATTCTGACTTCGTATCATCATAATCAACGCATCAAGAAAAATTCTAGTCAAATAATCATGTGTTTACAGAAATCTCTGATGACCTTGTAAATGATTTACAACATCAACATACGTTTTTCACTACGCACTACCATTTCACTGCGCAAACAAACCTTGTTATCAACGAATGATCATCAAATAGAGAGAAACGTCGATGATATTTTTGTTGATATAAACTTTATTCGAGAGTGAAAGAAGATCTTAAAACAAATCGAAATCGCGGTTCGTTGGACTACATTATATCAATTAGTAATTTTTTGCTGCTTTTAACACTAAAAATCAAAAAGTATAATACTTCAAAATTAAAATACTCTTAACAATAATTTCAAAATTGCGGCGTCACTAATTCCGGAGATATGAAAATGCTCACTCGACTTTGGTTACAAAACAAGATATGTCGAATGTTGAATTTGACAGGTTGTGCTTTTCAAGGATATGGTAAAAGTCTTTGGCGTTGTCTTTCAATGAATCAAGAATCAATAGTATTAACTATGAAGCATTTAGAGAACTTCGAGTTCTTGTGTGATATTCTGAGTCGAAAATCATCACCAAATCATCTCCAACTCAGTTTCTGGTTGAGTTCACCTTCTATTTTATCTCGCTTTTGTGATGTGTTGCAAAACAATTCTACACTTGTCGAACTCAGCATCATGGATCATCAGTGTTTCGATGATGAAGATTTTACAATTAAACTTCTAACTATATTGCGTGGTCACAAATCAATCAAACGTTTGGCTTTTCATATCTATGGCGTACTGCCTTCTAGTCGAAAGGAAATTTGTTTTGTAGATACGTTGCGCAATGACTCATTCATTTGCCGTCTACATATATCAGAGTCGATTGTTTCACATGAATTGACACAATCACTTGTTCATGCCTCGCAAAAGCATCATTCATTAACTCATCTGGAATTCTATGATTGTCGAATAGATGATGATGATATTTCAAATGTTCGCTTATTGTATTTAACAACGACAATTTAACTCGTTTAACATTTTCGAAAGAACAATATTGGTTTGTGACGGAAGTGGAAATACGACGAAAACTTCATGACGGTGAGTGGTTTCAGGATGAAATTCTTCTTAGATAGCGTTACTGTAACCTAGATATGACGGCACAATAAGTAGGAGAAATACATAAACTGATCGGAAATGAAAAGTTTGTCAAGAAACAAACTCTGAGTCCATGACATATTTCAGTGGTATTATCATTGAGATTTTTCTCTCTATAAAGTACACTGGTCGATAGATAGATAGATACATAAAGCGGTGGGTAGGTAGGGAAATAGGTAGGCAGATAGACAGGTAGGTAGGGAAATGCACTGTAAAAAAAATGTAGTGTAATAAACGAAAAAACCGTTTTAGAATGTGCAACCAGTCACGAACCCTTGTAATCGTTCTTCAAAATAACATAAATCCTTCCCAAAAGCCTTTCTTATACACCCTAACTGCCCTTCTGAACCGGTTTTTGACGAGTTTACTACACTGTTTTCTATTTTCTTAAACCCTTAAAGCGTTTACTACTCGTTGCAAACTCTTATACCCTTCGAAAGTGTTTATTACTTTCATTCGAAGCAAATTAAGCATTTAACTTTTCTTGTTTCACAGATGCAACTACTAGAAAGTTAAGTTTTTTAATACTTACAACATTACTGTATACTTTAGTTCTCTTCTGGAGCCCGTCCGCATCATAAAAGACAGCATTCACACAACAGAATACATTTTGCAATATTGACCAGTTGATCTAACAAGTGTCGTATACTGCGGATCTAAAAAGGAAAAAGAGTTAGATTCAGACATAAAAATGTATTTTAACTTACTTGTTCAACGCATGGAACGATTGAAGATCGAGTACATTCGTTCTAAAGCACAGATAAATGTTGACTTTAGATTACAAGAGATATTTTAACTTACTTGTTCGACGATTGGTTCGACGGTTGGTTCGACGGTTGGATCGTTTCCACATCGATCACATTCGATCTAAATACAAGAGAAGTACGCTGATTTACAACAACATACTTGGACTTACTCATTTACGATTAGTTCGACTGAAAATCTAACACATTCGATCTAATAAGAGAAAAGAATTGAAGTGAGTTGTAAGAATATATTTGAACTTACTCGTTTAACTATTAAATCGACTAAAGATCGAGCACATTCTATCTAAAGCAGAGATAAAGGTTGATATTAAATTACAGAAATATATTTCAAGTTACTCGCTAAACGGATGAATCGATTGAAAATCAAATCAATTTGATCTAAAACATCGCCAAGAGTTGACATTGAATTAGAAGAATGCAAGTCAACTTACGTGAACACCCTCACCTCAACTTCAACATTTTTTCGGAAGAGCTTGCTGTACTTTCGCACGAATGTCAACATTTTTCCTGTGCCCGCGTGCTCCTCCATATTCATTTCAGTCTCACGGTTGTGACACGATGACTGCTTATCTATGAAAGAAAACTGATGTATTGCTATCTCAGTTTTCGGAGATCCGAACTAGTTTTTTAAAGATCTGCTAGAAAAGCAGTCTTCCTCCTTCAACAATTTTACAACAAAAAACGCATTTAAGCTACTGTTCATTTGCGATGGACTGAGCCTTTATTCTCTACAACAAAAATACGAAACATATATACATTTGAGGCACGCAGAAAAGAAGAACAATTCATGTACAGCACACAACAATAAAAAGAGTTCCAAAATAAAACCTTCGACATAACTAGCGTCCACTTAAACTTCTTAATGACGATCTTTTACGATTTACAAATTCTTTCAACTCTTTTCTGTATATGGGCGATGGCAGAACGAATATGACAAGAGTGCTCATAAGAGGAACAAACGACATCAAATAGCTTGCTAAATACAAATATTTATGCCATGGAAATCTTACACAGGTGAGTGCAAATGAGAGAACCAGAAGAGG